TTTCTAAAAATAAAATTTTTTAATTTTTTAATAAATATTTATTAAAATAACATAATTTTAATCTTTTTAATTTTTATAATATAATTAATATACAGGTTTTTAAAATAATATATTATTTTTTATATTTTTTAAAAATTTATTACAAAATAATACAATTAATGCATTAAAATTGAGGAGGGACAATTTGGGTCACGGGCCATGGGCCATGGCCCAGGGGCCTTCGAATGTCGAACGTTGACCAAGTATAGGCCACCCGTTTTCCTTATCTTTTGTTCATTTTTGAAGAAGGTGCAATCTAGCCCTTATACTTTTCATATTGGTTATGTCAGCTCCTTTACTTTAAATTAGTGCAAATAGCCCCCTATGCTACAGCTTTGCAAATGAGCCCTTCTAATAACGATGATGCCATTTTTTCGTTAAACCATCCATTGACTCATTAAAATTGGATGACCAAGTGATGAGTTGGACAAAATAATGCAAATAAGGGAAAGCTCACATGACAATGGAATGATTTGATCGAAAATAATTACACAAATAGATTTATTATTAAGGATTTAGGATTTTTATTTCTAACTGCTATGTCTAAATTGAAAGTTTTATTCTCATTCTCAATTCCTTCCATCTTTATATGATTAAAAGTGTTTGATACACTTCTTTTACTTCCTCTTTTTTTTCTTTCTTTTTTTTTATTTAATTAGAGTTCACATGAATTATGGAGTAGATTATCATTAATGCTATTCATGGAATATCCACGTGAGTCAAAGTAAAATTGCAAATGATTAAGCTTGGATTTTTATTGTCCATGCCTATGATTTAGGCAACTTCCTTTCCCCTAGAATCATCGTTCTTACCATTCTCAAGTTATTAGAAGAACTTCTAAGTGAGAAGCCAATTGAGCTCAGTCATACAAACCTCCATAGTGTACAGAACATCAGATGGATACATAATGGGTTTCATCCCCATCGAAGAAGATGTGCCATGAATAATATAGAATCTTTGATAATATGATGTTAGCTTTACAGAAGTTGAGGTGGGTAGGGAGATTTTCTTTGATGTAAAAAACTTTTTTATTGAAAATTGGTGAGGGGAGGGTTGCAATTTAGTGAAGATAAAGCTACCTCAGGTGTAAGAGTAAGTGCACTCACACAAGATGAGCCCTAACTTTTGCACATGATGGATCAATGGACATGGATTTCTTCAATGTAAATAACGTCATCATTATTAAAAGGGCTTATTTTGTCCAACTGATCACCTAGTCATCCATTCTTGACAGGGCAATAGAGGATTCAATAGAAAAATAACGTCATCTATATTAAAAGGGCTTATTTACGGAGTTTGAGTAGTAGAGGGGGTATTTTGCACTAGTTTAAAGTAGAAGGGCTAACATGCCGTAACATTGAAAGTACCAAGGCTGAAGTTCGGCCTCTGCCTGTTTTTGACTTTTTGTTAGTTTTAGTTCTAGATCTAACATTTCCTGGTCTCCGTTCCCCTTCATTATATTCTTTTGTATCTTTTTCCTTAGATCTGGTTCGTTTCATTCTATCTCTTCTACTTCTTGTTTCTACTTTCTGTAAGATCTATTAGAGGAGCGGCCAAAGGAAGAAAGAAAAAGAAGAAAAAAATGGTTGAGTTTACAGTCTTGGTGTTGTCAGCCACGGCATCAGAGCCTAAATAATTCAAGGTAGGCAGATCTTGGTGTTCTTTTCTCTGTAGCCCGTCTTTGTCTTCTTAATTCTCTCCATATTTTTGTTTGTATTTTCCTTCACTCCTACAGTTCCCGTTGTTTAGAAAAGAAAATTCTACGCCATCAAACTACCTAGAGCTTGAATTAATAGGTTCTTTCAGAGCGAATGTGAACGCTAAGTTTCTTTCGATTTTTTTTTTTATAATAATTTCTTTTGATTTCTTGTTTCTTTAATTTTTTTCCTCTTCTATATTTTTTATCAAATGGTTATTTAGAGCACCGCAAACCAGGCATGGGGTACGAACAC